GAGGGAGACAAACCATAAGAGACTCTTAATCTCAGGAAACAAACTGAGGGTTGCTGGAGTGGTGGGGGGTGGGAGGGATGGGGTGGCTGGGTAATGGACATTGGGGAGGGTAAGTACTATGGCGAGCGCTGTGAATCGTGTAAGACTGATGAATCACAGACCTGTACCTCTGAAACAAATAATACATTATATGTTTAAAATAAAAGAAGATAGCAGGAGGGGAAGAATGAAGGGGGGGAAATCGGAGGGGGAGACGAACGATGAGAGACTATGGACTCTGAGAAACAAACTGAGGGTTCTAGAGGGGAGGGGGTGGGGGGGATGGGTTAGCCTGGTGATGGGAATTAAAGAGGGCACGTTCTGCATGGACACTGGGAGTTATATGCAAACAATGAATCATGGAACACTACATCAAAAACTAATGATGTAATGTATGGTGACTAACATAAAATAATAAAATAAAATTTAAAAAATACATTATATGTTAATAAAAAAAATTTTTTTAAAAACCTAGCAGTTTCTTGATCTCTCATGAATAATCATTTGTTCCGTATTAGCTTGGGCTTCTTTATTCCTAAAGATCTTCCTTTAGGCTTGAATGTCTTGTTATCTGTAATTGGGAATTTGTACAATATTAAGTTTCCTTCATTTTGCACTCATCGTGAGCTATTCTGTGGCTAACCTCATCTGCCTTAGGGTGATGGGGAATAGCAGCTCCTGAGGCTTCATTTCCTTGACCTACCTCAAGTTTCTCAAAGAGCTCTGGGTCACTGTACTACCTAGGTAGTGGCAACATTATCATGAGCTTTCTTGACTCCAAGGACTTCAATGACTCCAAGACAGGACAGAGTTGCTGACCTTTGAGTCTAGGTGTCCACATCCAACCATTCTTTTTTTTTTTAAGAGTTTTTTAAAATTGTTGAATATATTTATTTTGAGTAATTCCTGCACCCAACATGGGGCTTGAACTCATGACCCCGAGATCAAGAGTCCCATGCTCTTCTGACTGAGCCAGCCAGGCACCCAAAGTTATACCAACATTTAGAGAGGAATCGCTTTTTTAAAAAGATTTTTATTTTTTAGGGAGTCTCTACACCCAATACGGGGCTCTAACTCACAACCTCAAGATCAAGAGTCGCATTCTCCACCAACTGAGCCAGCCAGGTGCCCCTAGAAAGCTACATATAATATAATAGGCCTATAAACTAAAACTACATGGCTTATACATAGCACAACCAGCTACAGAGAATACAGCAGAAAACACAGTTAATTTGTTCATGGAAATCTAGCCTTGGATAGCACCAACAGTTGCCAAACTTCCCTACGGCTAATTTGGGCCAGTGAGCATAAAACTCATCAGATTTGTTTAAAAGTATCTTCTTTTGCACGGAAATGCTAAAGAATATGAAAAAAAGACTGAAAAGGGGCACCTGGCTGGCTCAGTTGGTTAAGCATCTGCCTTCAGCTCAGGTCATGAGCTTAGGGTCAGGCTTCCTGCTCAGCAGGGAGTCTGCTTCTCCCTCTCCCTCTGCCCCTCCCCCTGCTTGTGCTCTTTGTCTCTCTCACTCACTCTCCCCATCCCCTGCTCTCTCTCTCTCTGACACATAAATAAATAAAATCTTTAAAAGAAAATAAAGAATGGGATGGGAAAGGATGCATCCATTTTATAAAGCAGGAATCAGCATGTAAGATGAAATTCTACATGGGAGAATGGGATTTTTTCTCCATCTACCTTAATATTTAGTTGGATGCAATTTTGAGTATCAGGGAATGAAATAATAAACTATTATACATATATTATTGGTAAGATAATTAAGAAACATAACTCACCATTTTTTAGGCTTTGACAATGGTTTATATTTGCTATATTTTACACGCCATTCAAGAACTTCTTTACAGTGCTGACAAACTCCATCATGAAGTTTTGCATTAATTTTCTTAAAAACAAACAGAAAAACAAAGTAAGAATTTCACCTGTGAACCAGCATTGCAAACCCCATGAAAAAGGCACATGAGAAATTTAAGTTTTTTTAAAGAGTAACCTAAATTTAATCTGCATAACATTTTATGATACACCACGTATTTTTATGTGTATTACTCAAGCTGGTTCTTTACAAAGGCAAAGATTCTTAACTAGGTGTAGCTCAGAATCATCCAAGAAACTTTTTAACCTTTTGGCAGGAATATTTTAGAAAGCCCTTCCCATTGATTCTGATGTGTGCAAATGTTAAAACTCAAATTTGTACAGTCAAGATATGTGCCTTTTACGGTATGTGGGTTATACCTCAATAAAAATGCAATAATAAAGAAGAAAACCTAATGCATATTTTAAGACTACTGTTTCCAACAATTCAAATCTTACCAAATGAGAAATAAGAAAATACACTGAGAAATTATAGTCCTAAATTGTCAGTCTGCAGGGGAGAGCAGAGACCATGACACCTAAGAAAGAAGTGTCAGGGAAAAGCAGCTGGAAGCACAAAGGCATTTAATTCTTCAATTTAATACTTTTCTATTCTCAAGTAAAGAAGAAATGTTTCAGAAAAGTTGCCTTGCTAATCTGACTTCTTCAAAACAGAAAATAAATGTGTGCATGGGAATATCTGTGGTGGGAAAGGGCTTTATGGGGGAAAAAACACCCCATATTTATTATGATTTCCTTCTCAGAACGTGTTGGGAAATTAGGAGGATGAAAAAAATTTAAATGTATCATGTGTTCTCCCCAACAGTTTTACACTCTATAACATATTCATGTGATTCAGGACCCAGACGATTTATTTGCACTAAGTACTCTGAGAATTCTCTAACTTACTTTGGCTATGGAAGCCTGTTGTTTGCCTATTGTTGGAATAATGAGTAGAGGACATTTTATGTTTTCTTTGCTTCCTTTGTTTCCTTTTTTAATTTCTCAGGAGGAGAAAGAAAAGGATCACAAAAGATGCAGATTCTTTGGGAGGTTATCAGATGCTAAGTTAAAAGCACGAAGTTTAAAGATCATTGGGGAAAAAAAAAAAAAACCAAAACTTTGGAACAGTGCTTTATATTCTTTAAAGTTCTAAAGAAGGTAAAATAATTTGACAAAACATTTACTCATGGAGAAAATATTTCAAGGGTCTTTACAAAAGCCACAAATTAAACTGTGAATACATTATATTTGACTTTACCACTATGGTGAAAAACATATTGTTACCTAGGAATTGTGTATGGGTATTCCTTTCCCCCTGACCTAGATGGAGAATCCCTGGAAAAATAAATTCCACACGACACTACATTCCTTGCTACTGCTAAATGTTGCCAAAAAGAAGGAAATCTGTGTCCCATACCAAACTCTTCTTCTCATCAAACTTGATACATAGCTATCTCACATAAGACTTGCTAAGAAATACCCAGAACTAAAATTCACATTTCATCATTTGTTCTCACTGCCATCTGTTGCCTAGAGTATCTTACAAAAAGCATTACTTATATTTTCCTAACTCTAACAGTAATGGAAACAAACAAATGACTTGAACTATGATTACAATATGAATGTGATATGAACTTTCTTAATAGAATATTCTTAGAAGGCAAAACATTTTGTTACTTGCAATTTTATTATATATAACAAACTCTGCTTGTTAACTGGGAAGCATTATTTGGTTTCTTTCTGTTTCTGTATCCAATTTCTGACCAGTTCATCTTGATTTACAAAGCTGCACATAGCTTGGAAACTGGTTTCTTCAGGGTGGATCGGACAATGGAACAAAACAGGTCTTTGTGGAAACTTGTCCTATGAGTGATGTGTGAAACCGTATAAATGGAGATGTTGCAGAAAGTTCACATGACTAACAGGCACTACTACAAAACTGAACTTGATTTTCATGTGTTAAGAAATGAATGAGAGTAAGAATGAAAATGAATGGTACTTTCACTTGAAAAGAGTTGCAAAAAGAAAGAAAATTGTGCACCTTGTCTTACTGTATTTTGGCAAACTAGAAAAAGTGAATTCCAAGTGATATAAGCAATGAAAGCTAAATCCTAGTTCTAGGAATTATTCTGCCCGGAGCAAAGAAGATGACAATCTTGCCTTACTCACACCTATGTTTACAACTAACCTTGTTTTTGCAATTAATTTTAGCATAATCCTCCTGGTAGAAAGCATAGGTTATTAAGGTTAAGATTTAAGCATGTCCAAATATAAAATCAAAACTTAGTTTTATAAGTACAAAAAAGCCTTTAAAGATCATTTTGTTTAAGAAGCTACTTTGCAAACCTTTAAAGGGAAAAAACTTCAGAGACAATTCCACTGAACTTAGGAATCTTAGCTAAAGAAGAAAATCTTATTTATAAATTGAACACTTCCTTTTAAGTTAGAATAAACTTAGGGTGTATCAAAAGACACTCTTACTTAATATATATGTAAAGTCTTAGCCATCATTGATTCATACCACATATTTTATAGTAAATGTTGTTATTCCTCCTGTAAACATTCTGTTGTCAGACAAGGCATCTTTTAAAATGTAATACAGCAATCTCAAGAAGAAATTAGATGAGGGCGCCTGGGTGGCTCAGTTGGTTAAGCGACTGCCTTCGGCTCAGGTCATGATCCTGGAGTCCCAGGATCGAGTCCCACATCAGGCTCCCTG